GTGGGCTGCAAAGGACCTGGGGGAGGGAGGCTGGGGGCCATCAGAAGCAATGGGCCAGGCTAGGTGGAGTGTACTGGGGTTACGGGGTCTAGGCCAAGCTCCTGAGCAGGGCTGGGGAGCACTGGGCAGGCTGGTGAGCGGGGTTGGGAGGCAAAGTGCTGCCGCGTGGAGCTGTCAGCTCTTCTGCTGGCCGCCAGCACACGGGCTGCAAAGGACCTGGGGGAGGGAGGCTGGGGGCCATCAGAAGCAATGGGCCAGGCTAGGTGGAGTGTACTGGGGTTACGGGGTCTAGGCCAAGCTCCTGAGCAGGGCTGGGGAGCACTGGGCAGGCTGGTGAGCGGGGTTGGGAGGCAAAGTGCTGCCGCGTGGAGCTGTCAGCTCTTCTGCTGGCCGCCAGCACACGGGCACTGTGCCTTATGCTGCGTGAGTGAGGGGCTGGGACCCTGCCGCCACCCAGCCCCCAAAGGCAGCTCTGCTCTTGAATGCCACTGGAGAGAGATGGAAAACTTACCAGAGCACCGTGTGCGCGAGAGGGCTGTGACTGCCGCGGCATCGACAGAGGCACAAAGAGGCCTCAGAAGAGGAAAGCGAATGACAGGGTTTTGTAAGAGACTTGGCTGTTGCAGCTTAACCAAAGATTTGTAGGTAGATAAAGCAGTCTCGGTTTTCCCTGTGCTATCTGTGACAGTTGTTCTCTAACTCAAACTCTTCATTATCATTAGCAGTAAACATTTTTTGTGATGCCCTGAAAACCCAATGTTGGTAGCAGGTGTGTAGATGCGTGAGAACCCCTGAGGGAAGGGTTAGCACAGGCACCGTGGGAACAGAGCTTCCTTGGGTATTTGTGCCAGGACTTCCACTCGAGACGGTATAAGTACCTCTGTAACCGTTAGGACTCCTACTGTGTGGTCTTCATTAACTCTCTTGTGTGTTTTATCAGGCTGCCCGTCTCAAAACAATTCTTGAGCAGAGGAACAAGATGATAAAGGAAGGGAAGTACACGCCGCCCGATTACCATAAGGGCAAAGAGGAGCCCAGGCCTTGATTTGCTGGGGACACGCAGAGCACCTAACCATCCATCGTTTGTAGAAGCGTGGAAGTTAAACTCCTGTGGAAAAGATAGCAACTGGCACAACCAGTGTATGCTGGCTCTCGCTGTCCTGTGAGCCTGTGATGTTGGGGTGGGGGCGAAGTCTGTGTGAAGGCCTCGCCCCTGCTGAAGGGGCTGTGTCAGTGGCTATCACTTCGGCTAGTAAATGTCTGCTGGAAAGCTGTTTGGCTCTGTCTTGTCTTTCTTTCTGAATAAAATATGACTTAAGGCTCTCTCTTGGTAGCAGTCCTGCTAAGATAACTTTTGAACTGTCCTAAAACGCTGCGCTGTCATTGGGGGCAGCACTTCAGAGCGGTCAGGCGCTCACAGAGCGGGAGGAGGCTGACGGGAGCTGTGCGTGCCGAGTGCCTCCCAAGAGCTGGCCCCTTCCTGCTTCTGAGCCTTTGCAGCCCTGCCTCCTGTCTGACCAGTGAGTAAGTCTTCCAGGGCAATCGCTCCTGAAATGAGAGGAATGACCCAAAAAAGTAAAAGCCTGTCTAAGCTTGTCTTGAAAAACTCTTAAATGTGTTCAGTGTGGTTTTGCAAATCAGATCTGTAGGTGGTGTATGCCGGGCTGTTCCCAGTCGCTTTCCAAGTGGCAGTATCAGTTTGTGAAGTGAAAACCTGCTTAAAATGAGTCGCTTTCACTAGAATTCATGGAAAGAGTTAATGGGTTCAGGGTTTTTTTTTCTGCCCTTTCAGTTTAGAATTAGGTTTGTTTTTAAATCCTGTGTGTCAGCACGATCTATTGAGGGTTGCTGTGTGCGCTGGACCCTGCTGATCGAGGCTGGCAGGCGGCCAGGCTGGCTCTCACGTGGCCACAGCAGTTTTGTCCCTCTGCTCTGTGGCCCTGGCTGCTGGAACCAGGCACTGAACTGTTGGATGCCTCCCTTCAAGGGGAACCCCCCTGCCCTTCCCTCCAAATCTGGTACGGTTTTGTAACTGTTAAAGCAGGTAAGTACCTGGAAGTAAAGATGATAAATGTCTGTGGTTTAATCCAGGATATTAATACCAATGATTGTAGTTTTAATGCTTAATCTTTGATACCGGTGGAGCCTATGAGTTTCTTGATCCTCCCAAATCCCCGCAACAGATTATAAATGATGATATGAGCAGGGTGTAAACTCCTGCAGGCAGAGACAGGCTTCCCGTGTCTCCTCACTGAGCCCTATGGAGGTGACACAGAAGGCTGTCACTTCAGATTGCAGATTTATTGTTCTTGTAATTTCTGTCTTGCTAATACCGTTGTTGACCAGCTGCACTTTCTGATGTGAATCTCTGCATTTGTCTTCAGATAAAAATAGACTTCTCTACTAGCAGGGCTGGGGCGTGAAGGAAGACAGTGACAGACCCCTTCTTTATGACAATACATTGCGAATGATTGACCAGGTTGGGCGAAACAGCTGGTTTTGTAATCGCCCTGTGTTATAAAGTGTATGGTGGGGTCCGACATTGTTCTAAGCTGCATGTCCTGCTAAAGGAGGGGATGTTACGCTTCTACGAGGCGAAGCGCCATTGGGGCTATACGGCCTGCGTATAGCACAGCTGCAGAGCCTGAGCCTGCACCCTCAGCCCCAGACCCAAGGGGAAATTAAAATACTGCCTAATGCGAAATGTGGAAACAGCAAGAAAAGCAAACTCTGCCAGCCGGGCTCGTTCCCTGCCTGCAGAGGGGGAATTGGCACCGCTTTGAACTCCCACGCCTCTCCCGAGGGGCGGTTAGCGCTGCCGGGAGCCCAGGGCTCTCCCGAGGGGCGGCCGCCCGTCCTTCCCCGGCGCCTGGACCCTTCTGGCTGGGCGCCTGGATCCCTCCTGGGGGTGAGAACAGTCTTGCAGACAGCCCTGATTTAATGCCCGCGTTTTGGCGGGAGCTGTTCCTTTTGTACGAGGGCGGTTGCGTTTCTAGGGCTCTGTGTGCTTGTGCTGTCGGTGAAAGCTGCTCTGCTTGGGGCGCAGCGCAGAGCGGGGTTTTCTAGGGCGGGGAACTGAAGGAGAGGAGAGTTTCCATTACTTGCACAAGGTCAAACGACGCTGGGAACAGGCCCCAGGCATCGCTTTCTTGCCTTAAGGCTTAGGCTGCTGCATCTGTCTCAGTGAGTCGGGCTTTAGCCTGGGCGCGACGTAGTGCCAGCAGGGAGGTTTCTTCCCTCGAGTTGCCGCGGAAGAAACACTTCCCCCGTGGGTTACCCCTGGCTGCACAGGGAGCGTCGCAGCGGCGGCCTCGCCGGTGTCCTCCAGCGGCGTTCGGCCTTCTGGGGGCTCCTGCTGCTCCGCGCCGGGTCCCTGCGCTCGGGCCC